CTCAGCTAACTAAATCCTGAGCACACGACTAACTCACAGCGAAGACGAACATTAGTCGGCTCTTGACCCAGTGAGTGTGGCCCATCAATAACAGGTGTGGCCCAGGTGAGTGTCCCTTCACCACACCACCGGAGGGCCACTGTCTTGATCCCTGACTGTTGACAAAAGTAACTCACTTACCCGGGGTCAAACCTGTCACTAAGACCCCGCTTATCATCTTTCACTATCACCAAAAGTTCAAGAATTATCACCAGACTTATAACGTGGTGTAATCTCCCGGCCAGTGCCCCGAGTAGAGCAAAAACGTCTACAGGTAATCCCGGTTGATGAGCATGGGGGCAGCGTACAGCCAGGCAATGATATATCTCTGGGAAAAACTCGTTACTGGACACATTAGTGGAGTAATGACAGGCGTTGGTCCTTAAAGCTCATCAGGCGTAACGATGTACCATTAAGATAAAATACTGTTCAGACAACTCAGATCTAAAACAAAATCATCCCTCGTCTGTGTAAACGATAAATTAATTAAAGAAAAATACTCTTTGATTACCACAACACGTATATAAGTTTGTTGGTGTTGTAAGGTATTAGCACACAACAGTTATGGCTTATACACACAAAATACAAAGGCAGTTTCTCCACTGAGCAACAACTAATATTAAGATATAGTTTCGTATTCGAGTTTCCTGAAGACTACATTGCCGGGGGTGGAGTCAGCAGCGAGCAGCCCAGTGATATTGTGGGTTAGGTTTCCGGGAGTGTGTAAGGGACCCCAGACATGATCAGCTTATAGGCTTATTTCCGTTGTGGATTCGTCAGGGACAAGACAATGTGTCTCCACTCAGTGACGATGAACTAAACCTGTTGGGGGTTGTGTTGTGGATCAGTCCAGAAAAAACGAAAAATAAGAAACCAATGGAAGACAAATTGGCCTCTATAGAGAAAAGTTTATACACACTGTTCTTCTGAATAAGCTGAGACCAGAGCCGGATGACTGGGTTATATATCAGCGGATGGTTGATGTCACGTATCTTTAACCTGCCATTCAAGATCCGAGAAGAGCAACACATCGCCAGCTACTGTAACTGACATTAACACCTCATAGAATAAATTTATTTTGTTAACGTCACTGTTTGCTGTCGTGTCTTGTTCCCTTATTTATTCCACCAAAAGGTCATACGTCGCTGACCCCTTTGTCTCTCTGAATATTCATTACTCTTTAACTTCCCATAAACGAGGATTTTCTTTATAAATTTCACTGCAAAATAAGCTTCTTGTGTGAAATCAATCGTCGCACTGAGCAAACACTTGGCGCGTAAGTCCACAGACGCCCAAACCGGCTGGCATGGTCAACTTTGTACAGTTCAGACTTTAAGCGGTGCCTGAACTAACACAAACCAGACCTTAGACCTGCGTAAACCCTCAAACTGATCACCACACTCACTCAAACTGACAGGACAGACTGAGTGTGTATGAAGACTTAATTAAGGAGCGCCCAGCCACTATACACCTGACCTCCACACAACTGATCTTCACACACCTGACCTCCGCCCAACTGACCCTCACATATCTGACCCTGACACACCTGACCTCCACAAAACTCGCCGTTACACAACTCCTCACCTTATACCTATCATCTACACACCTGAAGACCACACAACTGATCTTCACACACCTGGCCACCATGTGAATTACCAAGGAACACACCTGGGAGGCGGCTGGCACTACCCCAAAAAGACCCGAGTCACACCGGGGCCAACACCACCACGGCAACAAGGTACACACATAAATCAAATCAACTGAATAAAGAATAAATACGACTGATAAACTTATAAAAAGATAACATATAAGACTGAGCTGTGATTTATAGACAAGTATATTAAGTATTATGGAGACTGGCTGCGTCGGGGGCATTACTGACGGTCTTGTGTGGCGGTGGAGGCTATTGGTCATGAGATATTTAATGGCGTTAGGGCAGTGTGGAGGAGGAAGTAGTGAGTTAGATGAAAGGAGTAGGAGTTGTAGGAAGGGAAGAATGGAAGAGGAGGAGGAGGAGCAAGAGGAAAAAGAGGAAGTGAGGAGGGGGGGTTAATGAGGCAGGGCTGAGACACACTGCACCCGGAACGTTTGATGGTCAGACACACACTGAGGTTTATAGTACAAGTTCGGGAGTGTTGGCGCTGAGATACCAAACTTTGTGTTGCTCGCCGTCAACACCACGACTCACCAGCTCACACGACTTGTCTTCTCCAGCACACCACGTTCTGTTGCTGGTTAACTAAGGGGTGTGAGCGCGATGGTACGGTGGCCAGGAGGTACAGCACGGTGGTACGGTGGCCAGGAGGTACAGCACGGTGGTACGGTGGCCAGGAGGTACAGCACGGTGGTACGGTGGCCAGGAGGTACAGCACGGTGGTACGGTGGCCAGGAGGTACAGCACGGTGGTACGGTGGCCAGGAGGTACAGCACGGTGGTACGGTGGCCAGGAGGTACAGCACGGTGGTACGGTGGCCAGGAGGTACAGCACCTAACCTTGATGGATCCTGGAACCACATAAGTTTCATCGTTCGTTGTGGATGACGTAACCTGCAAGTTGTGGCATTTAAGCCTTTGATCTGTCTTCCATTTAAACCGTAAGAGAGGCAGATAAACTTTAATCATAAAGAATTAGAACTTGGAGAGTTTAAACTTAAAAACTTCATATCCTCTTCTTCCACTCCTTTGTAAAGTATTTGTGACCGAAACTTTGTTGAATAAACATCTCGGATACTTGTGTCAACACTTTCGATTAGAAGGAAAGTTGAAGCGGCAAGTTCGGCAGAAGGTCCTGAGAGTGATCAGAGGGGAGGTTGACTGTCTGAGGCTAGCAGGTGTTACCACAGGTGTTCCCCAATTTAACAACTTTGAAGTATATTATCGTTTCTTTGCTCTAACTACCTCAAAGAACCGTAAAGCTGGAGTTATGACTTGCATGATGATGACTGCAAAAGAAAACACACAACAAACGCAGTCCCCAATACTCCTATCGTTAAACAAACAGTGAGAGTAACTATTAAGTGTATATACATCGTGTAAACTAGACGCATCAAGACCAAAGAGCCCAACACCAACGTCTTTCACAACTACAGACTCTGAAGGAAATTCCAGCCGAGTAATTCTGTCTAACATAGTTTAGGGGACAAGATCACATAGGCGTCTCTAAAGTCGTCACAGATGGTAGACACAGAGGAAGGAAGAAAGAGAGAAAAAAAGAGAAAGAAATAAAGAAAGAAAGAAAGAAAGAAAGAAAGAAAGAGAAGACCCCTTTTTATGCGAGACTAAAACCTTCTCGAGTAGGCCGGGGCCGAGGGAGTGAGGGAGGATGACGGTGCTGCCCTCTGTCGTCCAATTTTGTTGTCATTCAGTCATCTTAAAGCATTTCTCTCCATCTTACACAATAATTTTACCACCAAACATAAACTCCTCATCAATTTCCCTCTAAAACCAAATTATTTCTCTAATTTCCTCTCAATCCAGGTATCAATTGTTGTTTTTCATCGGCAATATTAATCGTTTTTATTAACTTGTCCACTTCACCAAGCCTCCACCCGGTACATATCAGTATGGTCCCGTTCTGTCCTCGATATTAACACCTGATAATTATGTCTCTTTAATGTAGTTTCTTCTTCGTTGATTCCCTCTTCGTGGTGTTCGTATTGTCTGAACCACGCAGCTGTCTGTTTCAGTGGAGTGTCACAAGACCTGAACCACGCAGCTGTCTGTTTCAGTAAGGTGTCAAGGCCTGAACCACGCAGCTGTCTGTTTCAGTGGAGTGTCACAAGACCTCAGACCACGCAGGTGTCTGTTTCAGTGAGTGTCTGAACCACGCAGCTGTCTGTTTCAGTAAGTGTCACAAGACCTGAACCACGCAGCTGTCTGTTTCAGTAAAGTGTCCTGATCCTGAACCACAGGTATCTGCTAGTAGGTATCCAAGTCTGAACCACGCAGCTGTCTGTTTCAGTAAGTGTCTAGACCTGAACCACACCAGCTGTCTGTTTCAGTGGAGTGTCACAAGACCCTGAACCACGCAGCTGTCTGTTTCAGTGGAGTGTCTGAGAACCTGAACCACACAGGTGTCTGTTTCAGTGAGTGTCTAAGACCTGAACCACGCAGCTGTCTCTGTTTCAGTGGAGTGTCACAAGACCTGAACCCACACAGCTGTCTCAGTGGAGTGTTTCAATTCAGGTGATGAACACAGTGGACCAGGAGGGGGTGGGGAGGAGGAGAATGACTGGACAGTGGGGAGGAAGTGGGGTGGGAGGCAGAGCACAAACACACGATACATTTCCTTTAGAGTGGTGGCCCACACACCTAGCCAGAGTGATCCTTACCACCCTCACTCCCGTCGCCTTCACCTACCCCGCCACCACAGCACCCACCCTCACCAACCACACAAAGAACTCCTCCACCCCCCCCACACACCAGCACCCCACCACCAACCCACAACAAACTCTCCTACCCACCCCCTCCCCATCACCACCTCACCAACCCCACCAAGAACTCTACCACCCCACCACATCACCCACCCTCAGCAGCCACCCACAATAAGGACACCAAGCCTCTTCCTCACAGTAAACAGCAGACCAGCAGAAGGAGCAGCAGCAGGCCAGGAGAAGGAGTGTTGGTGTGTAAAGTAACAGAGACATGGAGGTCAGTGTGATGTTATAGTCAAGCAGCAACACCCAAGAGAGAGTGTCCGAGGTGCTAAAGGACCAAATGAAGGAAGGAAGGAAGGAAGCGTGAAGAAAGGACAAAGGAAGGAAGGAAGGAATAAAGAAAGGAAGTAATGGCGATAGGAATGAAGGCAGGAAATGTGATGTAAACAGAAGAAAGATAACACGAAAAAAAAATATTATACGGAAGGGTAAAAAAAACCCACAATACAAACACGCGTATTAACTGCATCACGAGACAAGAAAAAAAAACCACTATTGATCTTCGCTTTAATCATCAACAAGACGACTAACTTAAACCTAACTTGCCCATAACATATGACGTAACATCCTATTAACATGACTTAGGATGCAGTAAAAACTTCACTTTAAAAATAATGTTACTCATCTTGATGCTGGGAGAGGCAAGAGCCGGCCACCAAGGTGTTCTTAGGCAGACACCAAGTGGCACCCTACGTTTGATAGCACCTGTTTAACTTATGCACACGAGTAGGAATATTTTGTTTAGAGTGTGTGTGTGTGTGTGTCGTGTGTGTGTGTGTGTGTGTGTGTGTGTGTGTGTCTACAGTTGTGGGTAGCAATTAGTTTACTCAGACAGTCCCACGTAAACCGACTTAATGTGGATACAATGAGAGACCACAGTAGAGCTATCGAAATAACGTTCTAAAGACTCCCAAGATTAAGG